TGTTTTCTACCTTTATCTTGCATGTACCTACCACTTCAGCATTTTATTAAAAATAAAAATAATAATAATAATAAAGGGAGAAATGTGGGATCCACATATAAATCAAGTATAAAAATCAAACGAATATTATTCATATTTGACCTGATTGTTTATAGTTCATAATGCGTGATCAAAACCGAAAGTTTCTGTGATGACTGCCCTTGTACTGTTCACCATGTAAGAACTTATTCACTATGTAAGAACTTCGTTCACCATGAAGTTCGTTATGCTTCAGAAGATTGGAGACTGACGAGAATTAGGCTTGAGATGGATTAATGACTGTGCATTGAGCATTGACCCCCCTATACATAATTTTATTGTTGTTAACAACCATTTGATCAATAAATATGAGAGATGCCCTCTCAAAAAAAAAAAAGGATATGCATAGGTAAACAAAATGATAGAGTAGAAGACTCCAGCCTCCATGCCCCAACAAAGATCAACAACTAGACAGCTATCCATGAATGAAAATAACTCTGGAAGAGCTCAGGAGTCCACTTAAGGTTCAGCCACACAGTGGAACAAAAATCCTGAGGATAATGGCACAAAAGGAGTAGGAAGAATATCTTTTGCCACAATATTCCACCTTCCAGGCTAGCACTGCTCAGCACCAAGAGGAACTAACTTTATGCTAATTAGTAACATGAAAGCATATGAAAATATACAGCACACTGGTATTTGTAGATATACAATAAAATTCAGAATACCGTGATACATAAAAAAAAAACTAGGTACAGTAAGAGATTAACAATAACTAGTAATAAAACATTATAAGTATAACAATATACTGCTAATAAGTCATGTGAATGTGGCCTCTGTCTCTTTCTTAAAATATTATACTGTACTCACTCTTCTTCTTGTGATGATGTGAGATGATAAAATGCCTATTTCCTGAGCTGAAGGAGCTCAGTGACGCAGGACTGTGACGCAGCATGAGGCCACCATGGGCCTTCTGACTCTGCTTCAGGAGGATCATCTGCTTCTGGGACCCCTCTTGGGCACTGAAACCCCAGAGACCAAAACTGCAGATACGAGGGGACTACCCCAGCCTGCTAAAGTTGATGTTATGCCACTCTGCTTTTACAAAAGGGCTGCATTGGTAAGGTAATGGCTTTTTTTTCATAAAAGTGAAAATCCTCTTCGGATTTTCTTCAGTTAGGGAAAACAGGTACTAATGTGGGTCTTTGTAAAAATTAAGTGGCATGATTTGAACTCTCAGAAAGTGGAGGAATACTCTTCACTTTAGGCCATTTCAACTTATAAAAGATTCCATAGGAATTGTCCACTTTCAGATTCCAGGGAAACCTGTACATACAAAAGTGGCACTACGCAAGCCAAATTCTAATAGGCTTCCATACACAGTCCTGTATTATCAGAGAAAACAGAACATCTACAACATCTATATTCCTATGGAAATAAACATATACTAATTAGCATATATGGCTTATGAGAGGCAAACTGTGATTGGTACATTCAATAAGAGTTGCAAGTAATAGTGCAGTCACTTTTTAATTGCAAGAGTTAGGATCTAAGCCAATTATATTCCTCCGTTACCCCAACCTAATGGAACCATTATGGAGTTAATATGAGATATACAACTTAAAAAGAAATTACCTCATCAGGTAATTTTTAAGAAGTTAACTTTGGAGAAACCAGACAAAACCCCTAGAAGAAAACATGGTATGAGAGGGAATGAACTGTAGGAACTTAATATATAGGAAGTTAACATAACTTCATTGTAAACATGACTGGATTCATAGGCAGCATTGTTATTTGAACTGTTGTTATACAGTTTTATGGAAATGATCATTTTAATGAGTTAGGCTCAAGTGGAGATTTGAGTGTCATAGTAAAGCCAGAGTGTTTTGGATGGAAACATGCTTTGACCCTATGCTAGGTAAAATGTTGTATTAAGCTTTTATTACGTAGTGATCATACACACATGGTTTCCAAAAGTGGGTAATCAACGATCTTACTTTTAAGGGATTTCTCTGCTTGAAGGAAGTTGGTTCCTTCCAAGCTGATGATCATACGCATTTATGTTTTGAATAAATAGTATACTCAAATCAACTATTATGCTTTTTCAAGGAATTGATGATTTCAGAGGTATCTCTTACCATTCAGGAGTTGGGGCAGGTTCTATCAAAACCATTATTCATTAATTAATAGCATCATATGAAAGAAAGAAAGCAGCCCAAAAGAAAGCAAGAGAAAACACTGTTGCTCTTGCTGTAAAAGTGATTTTGATTTGTCTGAATAAGAAGAGACAAAATTTTGTTTTACTTGGTCTTATGGACAAGTTTACTTTTTTCTAGAATCTTTTATTCAGGCACTGATACAGTCAATAAATTAGGTCACTGGGCAATGAGTAAAATGGCTAAATTAAGACAACTTTACTTAAAGTATAAAATGACTGACATTCTTTTATATTTAGAATATTAAAAAAAATCACATCAGTATATTAGAGAAAAGTCCACTTTTCAGGAGAAGCAAGGGAAAGATCAGGTACTATTTTTGCTGAAAGCAGATTATGTTCCTATCCTAAAATTACATATTACAGTGACTTAGCACTTGAGGTGGACATTCTTAATATTTAAAAAATGACATGTAAATGTATACTAAAAGTAATACAAGTTAGATATATTTTCATTTAAAACACAAACATAAATGAAAGAAAATATCCTCAGTCTGGCACACTGGATTAAATAATCTCTCCCTTTCAAGACGTGTGCCATGAATGTAACAGCGACAACAGTGACTTACAATACATCTCTGAAATGAAATTTACAGAAGTATATGTGCTTGGCAGAGTATTTACTTTATTGTCAGCTTGTAAGGGTTGTCCCTGGAGGACTTTGTTCCCACAACGGTCCTGAAGAGTTTTTTAAGTCCATTGATTCTAGATGCTGCTTCAAGGCTTCTCAGGTCCCCTTGTTGTAATCTATCATACGCTGCACAAACCCATCAGGGAATACAATTTCCCTTCTAACCATAGAACACTGACTTGGGAGGAAATTCTTGGGATTTAAACGGAAAAGAGGCCAGAGACTGTGAACATTACTGGCAATTTATGAAGGATTAGGTAGTAAAGAAGCAATGATGAGAAGCAAGTGATGCTGACTCTTGCATTTGGTTACACTGAATTCTGCATACATACTAATAATGATGCACCCTATGGATGCAATTTCATGTTTGTAACACTCTGACCATTGGCAGCATTGTGCACCTGTGTTTTCCATGCCTATAGTCATTCAGATTTAGGTGAGGGAAATGTTTTAGATAACACTTAATTAGCCTGCACTCTGCAGATCACATCTCTATTGTTCAGCATTAAATAGGAATCTGGGCAACTGCTGAGAGTGCCTGGCCTTCCTAAGATTAAAAATGTAAGATTCATTTTTCTAGAAAAAAAAACCTTTAGCACTCTCTTGATATTTAATACATAGATTCTATCAAACTTCACTTTTATTTGCCCTTACACATTTTAGGTTTTATCTCTCTGTATATCAAAAGTGGAAGGAGATAGATTAGAAATATTTTTTCCAGCTAAAGAGATAGATTGAAAATGATATGTAGAGTTAGAAATTCTCCAGTGTCTGGACTCTTTTACACTGACCACGACTGATCAAGCCCCACAACTTGCATTAGTTTCTCAAACTTTAAAATGGGGCCAACATGGATTACCTATTTGTTTCATAAATGCCTTGTGCAAGGCTTACTGAAGGCTGATACTTTGATAAAAATAATGCACAAAATGCAGAAAACTATTGCTAAAAGGACCCTGCCCTCTCCTTAAATATTTATCTCATGATTATTGTCAACAGTAAGTTCACAAATATTAGCTATTATTATAGAAGCTATCAGTGAATAATAACAATTAATAAATAATAGGAGATAACATCGATTTTAATTTATTTAACCTATAAGAAAGTAAATCATTGTATTCTTCTTCCTTCATTCCTTAGTAATTGGAGAATTGGGCTGAATACAGCAACTGCATACCACCAATCTCTGAGCCCACATCACAGAAAGTAGGTAGGGACAAAGGAACAACCCCAAATGAGTCCTCCCATCCATTTTAAAGCTGTAAGATAGCATTTCTAATGCATCCCCAAACCACCAGGGCTAAATGACCACTCTTCTTTGCCTATGGCTTCTTTGCTAGTTGCACAGTAAATTTCCTGTTTACCCAAGGGAATTCGGAAGGATGTTTTCTTCCTTACACTATCGCTAAGGCTCAGGCATACCTTCTAAAGAAGCCGCAGCAGTTGCTGCTTCCCGCCACAAACTGTCTGAATTTCTCTTGGGAGTGACCAACACTAGCGGAGTCAGGGAAGCTCCTGTCCCGCGCCCGCCCGCGCCTCCTCCACGCTGTTCCCTGGAACCTCGATCGCTCTACACTATTCTAAGCTTGGATTTCTACTTCCATCGGACAAGCAGCAGGTTTCTCCCAACTGGTCAAAACATGAACATTTTCCGATTATTCTATTTCCTTTCTTCCATCTGTTACCTTTCTCTCATTTTATTTCCATCCACGCTTAAAACGTTTCATTTTCCTTCTGCCGAGGTCCTTCTACCTACGACCTACGGATATGGTCTGATCCTCAAACAATATTAAAGTTGAAAAGCCCCAGACCCCTCAGGATTTAACCGGCCCTCTTCTTCCCCTCGCTGCCATCCCGGCCCCCAGCGGCGCCCACCTCCGCTCCACGCGCCACGCTCCTCTCACCTGGCTCTCCCGTGAAAACTCGTGGCGCACGATGCTGATCACTGGGATGTGCAGGACAGAGCTGACCAGATCGAGCTCCATCATCTCTCCCCGGCTCTGGGGGAAGGCGAGCAGCGCGGATACCCCCTGCACCACCACGGTGTGGCACACGCTTTGCAGAAAGGAGAAAGGGTCACTGCTCCACGGCGAGCTAGGCGAGGAGAAGGGCAGGAGCGGCAGATCGCCCAGGCCCGCCTCGATAGCCATCACTACTTCCAAAGACAGGTTGTAGGGCAGCAGCCCTTCCACGCGGTTCAGGTTGTCCACGGCGAAGAGAAGGGCATCCCGAGGCCACAGGGTCTCGGCTCCCGCGCCCTCCCCGGGCTTTCGGGCGCCCGGCAGCCCCCGGCCACGCAGGGCGCTCCCCGACCAGCGTGCGCCCGGAGAGGGCGCCGGGGGCCGCCAAATCCCTGGCTCAGGCTCATCCCTCTGGGCGCCTGCCTGGCTGCCGTCCGGAGCGCGGCTTGCCGCGCGTGGGGCTGTGGTCCAGGGCTGCAAATGCACCGCGCCCACCCTCACCGCGTGCCCGATGCGCTTGAGGATCTGGCAGGGCTGCGGGTGCGAGGAGGAGCCGGGCACCCCGGCCAGCACCAGAGCGCAGGGCGACGGCAGCAGCACACAGACCCTGCTCAGGAGCCACCACAAACTCAGTCTCCTCATTACTGAGGCCCGCAGGGAGATAGCGCGCGCCCTCCTGCGCCCGGCTCGCCACCGCGGCAGCCGCCGCCTGAGGTCTCCGCCCCCGGGCCGCGGCAGCTCACGCCTCGCGGTCTGGAGGTCCCAGGGGCCGGAGCGGTCTCGGGGCCATCCAGGTGGGAGCTAGCGCGCCCTGGGCAGTCTCGGACCCCGCTCCCAGGCTCCTGCGCCTCGCATCCTCTGCCCGCCCGGTGCCTGCGCGGAGCCGGGCAGGCGGGCGCTCGTCACCCGCGGCTTGGGCGCCCGTTCCCTGCCCGGCCCATCTGCAGGGCGGCCCGGGCACTGCGTCCGGCCCCACGGGGAGGTTGGGCTGAGCAGCAGCCGGAGTTCCTAGGGGCAGCGGTGACCGAGGAGACAGAGCGCTCACTTGGATTTTTTCTTCCCTTTCTGCCCAGGCGAGACCCACTTATTTCCTTGGGGTCGCGCGGGAGGCGTTCACGCCCGGGGTGCGGAAGAGAAGCCAAATCCTCGTTTGTTCACCGATGGCCACCCTTCCGCCGGCTCCCCGAGACCTGGCTTCGTTTTTCTTCTCCCCTGGCCTCTTCCTCTCTTCCTTTCTTTCGTGCTCTTTCCGCTCTGTGGCCGCGGCCGCTGGCTTCCTCGGAGGAGCGAAGCGACTGGCCAGCAAAGGGTGGTTCCGCTCGGAGCGCAAAGTTCTCCCCGCCTCGGCCGGCGCCTCCCTGTTGATGGTCCTGGCGCCAGCCTGTCGCTTGGCTGCGCTACACGCCCACTGATGGTGAGATTCCCGGGCGGCGCTTCCCGCGCCCCCGGAAAGCCCTCTCCGCGCATAGGCGAGGAGTCGTAGTTGGAGAAATTCCCTGCCACCTAGGAGGGCAGGTACCCTGCGTCGCGGATAATTCCAGCCTCGGAGTTGCGCCCGAGGAATCTGAGATTCAGGGGTTCCCGCGACTAGGTGACTAGGTTCAAAGAAGCTGTTACTTTAAAGCGCTCCTCTTCCAAGGGTCACTTTAAAGGCTTTTCCACCTAAGAGTATTAAAGCAAGAGTCATATTTACATATTTAATGTCCCTCAGCCTGCTTCTCTCTTGAAATATGGGCCTTTCTGTCTTTTAAGGGTCTCTACGTTTTTAGGTTCTCAGAATTAAAATAATTACTTTGAAGCAATTATTGGATCAAGAAATTAAAGAGGTTCAGAATACTTTTAAGAGTTTCAAGCACAGTCAATCAACAGCAATTCCTAGTTTAGACCAAGAGTCCTCCAGATCTCTGTTCGTAGTTAAGTTCTTGTAATACAAGTTGGTCCATGGGTTACATTTACTCTTTTCCTCCGTGATCTGAATAATCCGGAATTAGAAGGTAAGTAGGGGGCTAAAAGCAGGCCCGTGCTTTCCACACAGACCTCAGATTTACTTAATTTTGGAGAGTAGGAGGTAATTATGGGGCGGAGCAAGCCCTGGAGATCAGCAATTCTGAATTTCAGTACTGCTTCAGGAGAAACAGACCTTGGCAATTTATTTCACCTGACCTTGCCCTACTGTTTGGCTCTGCTAAATTGTTATGCAAATACAGCTAGCTTTTCTCTCCGGAGAGTTGTTTTGATTCACGTGCTAAAGTTTCCATCATGCTTTAAGTCCTTGGGATGAAGAGGCTGTGTAGCTGAATAAAACTCCCAAGAAGGTTGTCAAGTGAATGTTGTTTTCCTCAGCACAGGTCTCTACACACACATCTCAGAGCAAAATTTACCTGATATTCAAAATAACTCTTGTAAGGTTGGGGTGCCAGGGAAGAAAAGGAGTGAAAACCATAGTGGAGGCTGAGCCAGAAGGGAAAGGGTCCCTCCTGAGGCCCATGCAGGGATGCTGGTCGTCCCCTCTTGCTCCAGAGGATTCCACTGACTGGGATCTGAGTAAGAAAAGTGTAGCATTTCATGGTCCTTGCCTTGCAGGAAAACTGGGAGTCGATTAATATGTAGTAAGGACATAAGTTTGTGTGTGAGTATGTGTGCACTGGGAACAAAAACATTCTTGATTGTGGCCATGCCCTAGAGTGATTATCTTAGTACTTTTCATTAAACCACAGGCCCAGAATGGACTCACTTATGTCAGCCCAAGTCACCAAATCAGGGCTCAATACCTAATCTTGTTAAAGTAGGGACTTAGTTAGACATAAACAGGAGAAAAGGGCCAGCCCATCACCAAGGAAGACTGCCCTGACAACCCCTAAGGCCTTCTCAGTTTCCAGCTCTGCAGTCAAGGTTGTCTAGCTTATCAGGAGGCCCCGACAGTCAAGGACACCTAGACTGTCAGGAGGCCCAGGACCACAGGGACTACCCTGATTATAGGGCATGCACAAGGTTCCGGAGACCTTTTCCAAGATGCAGGGCAGGACTTGCCCTCAACCAACCTGTCAATCAAAGGATGTAAGAGGCAGGACAGGGCTTCCTGCCATCTTAAGAAAGAACAAAAGCCAACATAACCCAAGAGCGGGGCTCCTTCTGCTTTCCAGACAGTGCTCTCCTGTCTCGAGAGTGCTTTTCACTTTAATGCACTGAATTCCTCACTGCTTTTTCTTGCTAAATGTCTCTCAACTGAATTCTCTCCTTTGAGAAGACAAGAATCGGGGAAACAATGTGTTTAACCGGTAATAAGCTAATTACAATATCAACCTCACCCAGAAATGTAGTCTTAACTGCAGACAGGAATTTTCTCTTCAGCACCAATGAGGTAATCTGTCACCTGGTCCCTCTCCATCTGCCCCAAGGAAGATGAGGAAACCCACCTAATAAGACCCTCTATTCTTCCCCCAAGGGAAGGTGACAATGCCTAAAACAATCCTTTGTCTTCTTTTGCTAACTGCCCCTGCCCTGTCCCTGCCTGTAAGATCCTTCCATTGTGTACAGCTCCTCAGAGCTCCCTCTATTGCTCGAAGGGTTGCTGCCCAATTCATGAATTGATTAATAAAGCCAATTAGATCTTTAACATTTACTCTGTTGAATTTTTGTTATTTAAAAGTTCAAATCAGGTTCCCAAGAAAACAGATGGTGATGAAGAGACGGGTCTAAGGGTTAATACATCCTGGAGTCACTGCATGTCCTCCCAGCTCCCCGATGACCCAGCCATGGTGAGGGAGTGGCTGAGCTGGCCATTCATAGAAGAGAGGGTGATGCCCAAGGTTCTCAGAGGGGCACTGCCCCAATTCATGACAAAACTGAGGCTGACTCTTGCAAATACTGAGTGAACAGGAAAAAAGAGCTCTTAAATTCCTGAGTTTCCTTTTGTATTTCTTGGGCTTCTCAATTATGATACACTGATTTCCTTACATTTTCTTCTCGTGCTTGGTTCTTTTTTTCCATTTCACTGTAATCTGAGCATTTTTGATGTGATTCTTTCTTTGCTTTTCCTCACATCTTCCTTTTCTTTCTCTCCTCCTTTTTCATGCTTCAACCATCATCATTTTGATGACTGAATCTTTTAGATTCAGTCTTCAGTTCAACAGCCATTTATTAAGCCCCTGTTATGTGTCAGGCATTGCTGCAGACCTGTCCTGGTAAACTCTTGCTTGGAGAAGTTGAGGGTTTTTCCCCCCCTACAAAGTCATGTAGTTGATGAGTGAACAAAATACTAACATCGAACTTATATTCTAGTGGGAGAAACAGACAATAAAACATAAATAAGTAAATGTAGGGGATGTTAGTTGAAGCAAAGGAGAAAAGTCAAGCAGCAAAGAAGTACTAGGAGGAGAGTGGGTTGTAGTTTTAGATAAGAGAGTGAGGGTAACCCCTCTTAGAAGATAACTTTTGAATTAAGACCCAAAGAAAGGTGAGGGAGCAATTCATGTAAATACTTAGGGCAAGAATTTCCAGGCTGAGGAAAGATCAAGTGCAAAGGCCCAGACACGGGAATGGGTCCAGAGTTGCTGGAATGAAGTGATCCAGGGTGAGAGTGCTGGCAGGTGAGGTCAGAGAGGCAATGGGGAGGAGGCAGATAATGTAAACTCATGAAGGATGTTGCTTCTACTCTGAAAGGGATGAGGTGTCGAGCAGGTGGTGCTAAGCAGAAGCATGGCAGGACTTAAGTTGCAGCAGGAGCCCTCTAGCTGCCGCAGGTGGGCAAATAGATACAGGTGGGCAAGGGTGGAAGTCAGGAGTTCAGACATGAGGCTGCTGCAAAAAATCTATGTGAGAGATAACATTAAGGTCAAATTAAAGAACAGCTTTACCAGGTTAGTGGTATTATTGTCACTCTATAGAATAGGAAACTGTGCTTGAGAAAAGCTGGGTTATTTACACAAAATCATCACACAATGAGTGACAGTGTAAATCAAGAATTCTAAGCTCATCCCAGCTGCATCAGTGGTAGCAAGAATCAGCCAAATTTTGAAATTGGCTCATCCAGAGAAGATGAAGCACTCTTTATTGCCAGATTTGAATTGAGAACTACTGATCTAAGAACTCATGTTGGAGAGTCAAATAAAAAAAAGCAAATCCAAATGCTTATAATTTAAAATGTGCATTTGTGCATATCTGTGATTTTTGATAGTGGCAATGGGGAGATGCAAAGCAGAGCTATTGTGGAGGTAGTCCAGGAAGAGCTGCAGTGAGGGAGCTGTGGGAGTCAGGAACCCAGGTTCTATTCTCAGCACCCCTGCCCTATGGGTGTGACGTTTAACCTGCTGACGCTCAGGCTTCCTCCCTTGGACTGCGGTTGTGGAGACAGCTCTTGAGAGTTGTTTACCTGGCAGTGTGTGGACTCCAGGGAACACTTTCAAGTTCCATGGAGTGGGAGGCTTCTTGTAGGGCTCTCAGGTCAGTGATATTACTTATAAAGGTTTGGAAAACTGTAACTATTTTTGCCTGTACCATGATGTGTTTCAAGGTCTATGCCTGTCTGGCTTTGTTTTCATAGATGGCAGTAATATTAAACGGCATCTTCCTATCCCTGGGTCAGTCTCTTATGCAATAGTAGCAATGTAGCTTTTTATTAATATTCAGATGAAAAATGGGCTCACTGCTAGCTAATAATACACACACATATGGCCAAATTGTGCCCTCTCCCACATCAACTTCCCTGTCTTTATTGCCAGAGACCTGTTGTATGAGAACCTTTCTGCGTTGTGGTGAGGAACAGTGAGGGGTCACTAGGAAACAAGCAAACAACTCTGTACAGCTGGCAGAGAGGCAATGGTAGCAGAATTTGAAAAGCAATGAGTGTAGAAAAAATCAGGTCAGTTTAGAGAAGCAGATCCTGAGGGCTCATTTATCTACAGCCTAATTATTCTTTTCTTACTTACCAATTAAAAAAAAAAGTATGTTAACTCGGTACTTTGTGACATTGTCCTATATTCAACAAATGAGGCATAAATTTTGGCAATGGTCATCCTTTTTTTTACAAATGCAAATTCTCGTGATTATGGGACTATCTATCACACATTAATATAAATTATTTTACCCTGATTGTTGTAAAATTAATATCCTGTTGGGCATTTTTGGCCAGAGAAGTTTATCTTGTATTACAAGGGAATTTGGAGACATAGGAAAGGACCCATGGAATCTTACTGAAGGAGGTCTGGGCAATGTGAGGGACTGGAAACAGGAGAAAAGGAACATTAGGAACTGAGAAAATGCCATGAAGAAAGGGAAGAAAAGTTTGGTCCATCTTGTCTATTTTAAATAGTGCTTAGGCCTGGCCTAAGCACTATTTAAA